CATCGCGATACTTGTTCATACTGTAGTTTAACGTGGTTCATCGTAGAATTAATTTTTGGCTTGGTATATTAGGTGCGTAAACGAAATGATCGATAGAACTTTTTCCATTCCGTCTATCTCTTTCGTTTGAGTATTAGCGACTACGTTGCGTTTAGTTTAAGTTATTTTGTATTAATAGCATTAATTCGTATTAATTAGAATATTAAGATAATATTAGTTCTAAGCTGAAGAACGAAGACAACCGACGAGGGAACTTAGTTTTTTATAGGTTTAGGCTCAAGAAAGAAGTCATCCGCCGAGGGATTTTAGTACCGATAGTATTAGATAGTTAAGATTTAAGTTATTTATAAGGTTTATTGTGAAAGGTGGGTAGATGTAGAACTTGTGATTCCATCTACCTGCCTTGGGCCTCCACTCGCAGCAACCTCCTCGTGGTGAGGCCTGGGCAATCGGTATTGTCATCGGTAAAGTACTGTAAACTGAAGACAATATCGAGCTAATGGCTGCGAACTTCGAATCTATCTCATAAAACCACGTTCTATATTACATCGAACTAGGATCATTTTAGAAATCGATATGAGATTCAAAGTGTAAAAATGTCTAGAACTACTGAAAATTACTTTAGATTCCTTTTCCTTATTCTATAAATTCTTTGATTGTAATATGAATGCTGCTGGAAGTATGAACATTTTCACAGGACAATGATATAAATGGAACTTTAAAACTTTTTTAAGTGTTACAGTGATATTTCATTGGCCTCCGTATTAGCGCACTGCGCCAAACGCGGATAGCACGATGTTGTAGTCGCAAGGGAGCAATTGAATCGAATAGACCTATTGTACCGTAGCGCATCGTATTGTATTTCAAACTTTTATATCATTATAATTTATATGTATACATGTATATTCAAATAGACATACGTCAGGTAATATAAGCTTCATTTCATCAAATTGTCTTAAATATAACTCCATAAATATTGTACAATCCTATACTAATTATAATTGTCTGGTTCAACTGGTTACTACAGAAACTAACTACTGCCTACGTCTTTTAAACTTGGGCTGTAGTAGTATCTGCCGAAACTGCCATGGTTGCTGGGGTTACTATATGTATAATTTGCTCACGGAAGCACGCACAAGTGTCAGTCAGATTTTGACAGTTGCACGAGCAACATTAAACCGAACTCGAGACTCGTACGAGCAACAGCGGTAAAGGATTACGTTTCAAAACTCTTGCGCATGCTCCGGGGGGTTCCATGACCCCACGTTCTCACCACAAGGGGTCCCTGGCGGCTCCACCGGGGGTTCTGTGACCCCAAGTTCTCCCACACCGGTCCTGGCGCCTCCACCGGGGTTCTATGACCCCATGACACGCTACACGGGATCTCTGGCGCCACCTGTGGGGGTTCTGTGACACCACGTTCTCCCACACGGGGTCCCTGACGCCCCTGTGGGGGTTCTGTGACCCCACATTCTCACGGGTTAAATCGATCTCCGCGCGGGGAGGACCAGTCTCATTTTAGAATGCCGTTGATCCGAGCGATATATTGCACTGAAAATATCTATCGTATGATATATACATATATATATATAGATATATTGTTACTAGAGTCTATCGTAACGAAACACTGTAAATATATACTTATAAAAAAACGTTTAGCCGAGAAAGTTTTTCTTAAGCGAGGAAGCGACTTTTAAAGAGTATTTTTTGAACTGAATACATTTTACATTTCGAGGTCTTGGAACCCTTTGCGCTCTTTCGGTCGGACAAACAAGCTGTTATACTTTGTTCTGTTTTATTGTTGTTGAGTTGTAGCAAACATGCGACATGCATTGTTTTTTGTTGAAATAAAAATGTTTTTCCTTCTTAATGAAAGAAACATTTCCCTTGATTTGGGTTTATTGATTGCAGAACTCGAAATTTTCGATGATCATGTCTATAATAATCGAGGAAGTGTATCCTGTGAATATATACTATTAAGTGGATTTTCTTTAGTAAAATGTTGTCGGTGAGAATATTTACAGATTCTTTTATAACGCTCTATTATTTTTAATTTGTAAATAAATCGAGATTTGTTACCCGACAAAATGCTGCACCAGCACCATCTTGAGGCTACACCAGCACCGTGCCAGGACAGCACGAACACAGAGCTGCACGCACGCAGTGCGTGGTTTCCGAATTCGCTATAAGCTCTCGCAGACCAAAATCGGTTAAAAAATATAAGGTTTATCCACCAAAATGTGTTTCAATATTCTTGTATTCATTTCTCAACCAATCCCAGGTTTCGATGCTTGCCGTACTGCAGAGGTACGAAGTTTCACATATTCTGCTTTAATTAATGACCACCAAATGTTTTAATTAGGTTACCAATCATTAGCACACCTTTCTACATCGATTGATTCCTCCGAAAAGACAATCTATCCAGAAATATCTGTTTTATCGACTTTCAACGTGCGTTGGTACACCTGTACCCTGATTTGCCAGATGACTACATCGTTTTTTATAGTAATTAAGTACCACCAAATGTTGTAATGAGGCCACCAAACGATTATGCATCGATTGAGCATTTAAAAACCTGAATCTGACGAACAAAAAAAATTTTCGGGTAATTTCACTGTCAAATTTTGATCCCTTAATTACAAGAGAACGTGTGACTACCAAATGTTCTAATTAGGCCACCAATAACCACCAATCAACCACCACCAATCGATTGGGTATAATGAAACATTAAAAAGTAATAAAAAGTCATAATTGCCCAGCTAACTTCACAGAGGTCGAAAACTCGTCCGATAGCAGTTACAGACTCTGGTAGAACTGGGTGGAACCAAGTGTAGGTAGCAAATTGGCTCCCGCAGACTCTGATCTGTTTTTTCTCCTAATTTGACATAGGTTATGTTGGAAGACTTGTTGTCAATTTGTTTTACCATTTTGTCAGTAGGCTTTAGTAAGCTTTGCCAATAAAACCTAAGTCAAAAGCGGAAACAGATAGCTACAGTTTTTTAGATAACATTTGTCATTATTTGCTGGCAATTTGCTCGAAACGTGTACACAATTGTTTATCAGGATATATAATACATTTTGTGTAGGTTAAACAATTGCATCTGATTACATGAGGAGTTAATAAAAAATTATGATGAAAATATCTTCTAAGCACTAATTGTAACTTTCTAATATTATGCAGCGAATGCAATAACAAAACGCAGTAAATTACGTCTAATTTTCGTCATGAAAATTGAGAAATAAGTTTATTAAAAATGTTTTTAACATGTAGATTTAAACCTCGTATTTTATCATACTATAGGTACGTAAATATTTAGTTGCAATATCACGAATAGATGACACGATTCGATTATGGCTCGTTTAAGACTTTTTAATTGATTGCGAAGCAATCGAACAATATATTTACATAAATACCTATTCGTTGTCGGTTGATGCATACGGAATTTTATGTACATAAATGGTTATAATTCATCTGGATGGCGAGTATTGACATTATTCCCTCATCTAAAAAGACTACTTTTGTAAAACACAAAAATACTACATACTTATATATACTTTTGTTTTATACCCCCATTACATTATAACCTAGGAACGTCATTTTAAGTATGTAGTATAATAAAATGTACAGCTTCACTGATCATTAAGATTTAATACGTTGGAGAAAGTACATATGAAAATATTTTTATTAAGATAATATTATTCTTTACACATAAATGAAATAAAGTTTCATAGATCACATTCAAGTTATGTGGAAATACACAAGAATTATTAAACATTTTTATGTATATACGTATATAAATTTATTACGATAAGATTCTAGTTAAAGCTGCTAATGTTGACAAATGGGAATTTCCTGATACTTATATTTTCTATGAATGTCACATGAAAAGTGTAGAGTGTATGCATTTTTTTGAAGGTGAATATTATATTTATTTTATACCATTTCAGGTATAAATCATCTGATATAAACATATCCACAAGCAACATGCTTTTACATGACTATATAGAGAAGCGATATGATAACATAACTAAATCACCAAATGATAAAAGAGAATATAGAGGTTTATTGTTGACTAATAAAATGAAAATTCTGCTTATTAGTGATGAAACAACTGATAAAAGTGCAGCAGCTTTGGATGTAAATATTGGTAAAGTCAAGTCAAATTAAAATTAAAATTAAAAACAATTAATATTATACTGCTAGTGTTTTAATATTGTTTATAGGTTTTTTTAGTGACCCTTATGATTTACCAGGCTTGGCACATTTTTGTGAACATATGTTGTTCTTGGGAACAAAAAAGTATCCAAAAGAAAATGAATATAATATGTATTTATCCCAAAATGGTGGTTCATCTAATGCAACAACATATTTTGATCATACCACTTATTTTTTTAATGTACATCCAGAAAAATTAGAGGGAGCATTAGATCGTTTTTCTCAGTTCTTTATAGCACCACTTTTCACAGAAGCTTTAACTGAACTTGAATTGAACGCTATTAATTCTGAACATGAAAAGAACAAAGCCAATGATACATGGCGTATTGATCAATTGGAGAAATCATCGGCAAACCCGAATCATCCTTTTTCAAAATTTGGTACTGGTAACAGAGAGACATTAGATGTAATACCAAAACAGAAGAACATAAATGTAAGGGAAAAGTTATTTCAATTTCATCAGAATTTTTATTCAGCTAATATAATGGCATTATGTGTACTTGGAAAAGGTAAATATAATTTTCTAATGATTATTCTGACAAGGAGAGTCTACGATTGGAACAACTTTTTTTTATGAAACTTAATGCAAAATGTAGGATATGATGTGTATAAACTAAACCTCAACTATTTGATGCTAATATTTCACTGTTATAAGAAATGACTAAAGATTGAATATTTTGTGGTATTCATTGTACCTTCACCACAAAGAGGAGCTTTTCTCAACTGTGTCAGTAGCTCAGGTGGTTGAGTAGGAACTACCATGTGAGATACCCAAGTTTGTAATCTTCTAGATTTCATGATTTTATTCTCTTTGTATAATTCTTAAAGGAAGTGGAATATATTTAAAAAAGTCATTAGTTTATGGTAATTAAACCTTGTAACAAATAATAAATAATATGAATCCTGTAAAATAAACAACAGAACACTTAATGCATTTAAAAATACACGTAGTTACATTCTATTACTAGAACAACATAACTGCATATTTAGGAATTGTAAAAAAACACAAAAATTCACATTGTTGGAAGATACTTTATAACCAAACTGCCTCTGCTATTAACAAAGATGAGAAAGCATTCCCTTTTTAGTGGAGGTAAGCAAGTACTTCCAAAAGTTTAACCCTTTCGACGTTTAGTACGGACTTGACGGAGCGTGTCTGTTTGGATTAATTGGAGTATACCAAAGTGTTTAGTCTACCATGCTTAGTTTATATCACATTATAGATGTAAAAATGAACAGCTGCTTTATGATTGAATATTGCATTCGAAGTTAATAGAATCTTGGCTTTAAATTCGAATGATTATGTCTGTTTTGCTCTCTATAAAGTGAATCGATGTTTCCTATAAGTGTAAACCAAAACGTATATTTGGACCCCAGTGTATTAGGTCACACCTTTCAAACTAGGAGAGTGAATCAAAGGTCCAAAAATCAGGTAATTTTGGAACTGTTTGGTTAAGAATTCAATGAGAAGCAATCGCTACATTCGAAATACTGAATGTACTTAAGACAAGTCTCGATGTGTAGAAATGGTGAACATTACATTAAATTACCTATGTGACAGATTTTACATTGTTTAGCTCGGAACCAGGACTTAATACCATTTTTACACTATTATAATAAGAACTAAACAACTTAGAACGAAATAATTTTTACCATTGGAAAGAGTGAAAAATTTGATACGAGAAACATGTGAAATATCAGTTTCTTAAAAAAGTGGACTGAATACACTCTGGGGTCCAAATATATAAAAACTTGTTATGCGATTTTATACCGAACCTGCAGCAGTGATACAGGTAATAACAATTCTTTTGTTTTATCAGAAGCACAAATACATGAAGAAATTGAATCTAGTGTTACAACTAATGATCAGTTTTTTTCAAATTGATGTAAATAATTTTCCGCCACAGCTGCCAAGATTTAAGTTAAAAATAAAGCCAGATATAAAGTATACATAATGACGAGTCATACAAAGAGTAGTTATTAAAATATTTCGACAGGTATCGTAGAAATACATATAAACTATTTCTTTACCTCCTTTTTATTATATCATGTGACTAAATTATGTCATTAAAAAGTGGGATATTTTTTCATCATATTTCAATATTCTAGTCAACAGTAATAGTGTTAATCTCTAAAGCCATTTCTTATTCGGTTTAGTTACGAGAAGCGTTCATCCCGATCGTAGACTTTCTGTGATACATAGTTCAAGAAATGTACTTTGAACAAAGACATAAATAAAATATCTAATAAAATAATTATTATTCTATCTCTTGTACACACTGAGAAATGTCTTGATTCTTATGAGGAATGTATTATGTATTTAGAAAGTTTAGACGAACTAGAAAAAATTACAGTTGAATTGTTTTCACAAATAAGAAATAAAAAAGTCGAAGTACCTGTTTGGTCGAAACATCCCTTTAACGAAGAACACTTTCAACACAAATGGTATATTGTTCCAATAAAAGATACAAGAAGTTTAAATATTACATTTGGTATACCTGATACGCGAGCTTATTACAAATCTGCGGTAATAATAATACTTTAACCTGCATATTTTTATTATTGGTACTAATTATTTTTAAAAAATTGATGCATTATATTTCTCTTTCAGCCATCATACTATATTTCATATTTATTAGGACATGAAGGAAAAGGCTCATTATTATCTTCATTGAAAGCAAAAGGATGGTGTAATTCACTTGTATCAGGCAAACGGGCAGCCGCCAAAGGTTTCAATTTCTTCAATGTTCTTGTTGATTTAACAGAGGAAGGTATTCAGCATGTCGATGATATCATTTTATTGACTTTCCAATATATTAATATGTTGAAGACACACGGACCAATTCAGTGGATATACAATGTAATTACATATAAATTGCAATAGTAATATTATATAAGTACACTTATACCTACTATGCAGCGCTGGAAAGATGACATGCGGAATATGAAAGGAATGCGGAAGGGATGCGGACCTGATTGGTATATTTCCCAGGGTCACCTTCTCTAACATAACCGTAGCGACAGGGCACACGGATTTTAGTTATTGGCCGAAACGGTAATACACACAACCGGATCATGTAGCACCGCGTGACAAAGAGAGCGAATGGGACACATCGAGACCGACTTGGATAGAGTGACAGGCCTTGGGGTACGGTTATACTGCACGCGTGTCCGTCGTCCGATGTCGCTCGCGTTCGTCGTATACGAGCGTCAAAACGTACGGGAAATTGCCGACACGACATCACTTCAACCATTATATTTTCGTTATTTTTCAACATAAGGCTCTGATTTAACGCTCATTATAAAGCTCAAGGAGTATTGTTTTCAAGTATATGCACAAAATTTAGGTTATTGGTAATAAATATAGTTATAATTAATGTTAAATATTGAAATGCCGTTTTGACACTGTTCCCACATATGGATCAATCAGGAAAAAATATTACTGGATTCCTTGAATCTTCACCTTTAAAATACACTTTTCAAAACGATGGAACGTTTTTGGGAAAATGTTCGGCCACGCACTACGTCTCAACTATTAGACTGATCGCGTGATCTACACACGCCGCGCGACATACATTATGGTAAACTTTTTTTTTTAATTATCCCGAAAACGCTCCATCTTTTTGCAAAGTGTATTTTAAAGTTGAAGGTTCAAGGAATCCAGTAATATGTTTCCCTGATTGATCCATATGTGAGAACAGTGTCAAATCGGCATTTTAATATTTAACATTAATTATAACTATATTTATTACCAATAACCAAAATTTTGTACATATACTTGAAAACAGAATTCCTTCAGCTTTATAATGAGCGTTAAATCAGAGCCCTATGTTGAAAAATAACGAAAATATAACGGTTGAAGTGATGTCGTGTCGGCGATTTCCCGTGTGTTTTCGTGTGCGACTTCGGACGACCGATACGCGTGCACTATAACCGCTCCCATGGATTTAGAGGCGTTTGATTCGGTCATGTATATCGATATACCTAACCGAGACCCATTACTAGCTGTATACGGACGACGGGCTAGTCGTCCGAATACGCGTCCAGTGTAACCGTAACCTTATTTCCACTTGCGACTAACCGCGCACGACTGGCTGTCGCGCGATCAAAAAATATGTTGTAAAATAGTATAATTTCGACATACGCGGCTGCAACTACCGGTCGCGCGCAACTGCAATGTCAAGGTGGGACTAATCGCGACAGGTTAGTCGCGCTCGACTTCAAAGTTAAAGAGTCGCGTGGAACCGAACACCAGTTTGCTCAAATTTTTAGAGAAAATGCTGTGTGAAAACGTTTACAGTATGGATTTATTGAACTCTGAGCATTTCATTCAGGGCATTCCCTTGTATAGGTGGTAGTGTCAGTTAGTGCTGGTCTCGATTTAAACAACAATTCGTGAAATGATTTTACAGACATTTTTGTCTAATGAAAAAATGTTGCATTATATTTTCTCAATTCATTATAAAAAACATGAAATGCTTCTTTTAGTGAACGCTCCGATAATAAGAGATGTATGCAACACTTGTTTTTTACGACCACTGGAACGCTGATTTACTAATCATAGAGCAACTGTTTCTTCAACGTCCATATGAATGATACTGATTGTAAGAAATCTTGGTGTCGCGCGTGGTTTGTCGTAAGTGGAAATAATAGTACAGTCGAATTAGCCTTCAAAACCCTCATTTTGAAAAATAATTCTAATTAGCTAGTTTTTGGCACAAAATGGTTGGGAAGGGCATTAGATATGAGATGTATACGATTGGGATTCTTCAATGGTTGGGAAACATTTTTAAAAAAATTCGACAATGTGTGAAAAGCACGTTTTTTGCGTGTAGAAGAAAACGTAATGATTTTAGAGTAAAACGTCCAAATAAAAGATGTATTAAAAATAATTACAATAATATATTAAACTAATTAAAATCGGTCGACGTATTAAGTTGCAAAAGCATTAAAACTGCCAAAACAGGCTTTTTTCAATTGTTTAATACAGGGAGAGACTTGACCTAAGAGCTTTGAACTTTTAGGAGAACATGGCCCCCATTACGATAAAAAAATATGGCAAATTTCACATCGAAGTATTTGTTCGTTTTCACAGAAAGTCATTAATTTATCCCAAAAGCTTGTCCGTAAAAGTTAATCTCTTCATATTTGACATGTATAACAGCAAGCAGCGGGGATATTTTTTACTGTTTGAGAGATGTACTATCATGTAGACTTCTAGATGAAATGAATTTTTTAAATTAAACGATCCAATAAATAGGTATCTCTTTTTCTCGTAAACAATTTGAATAATATTTTCAAATTTGATGGTATCGAATTACTATATAGACCATTCGATAACTGCTATTTTTCTATAAATGTCAAAACAAAATATTTTACTCTACATTACTTAAGAGTCGAGATAATTTTTCATCACTGTAATGTTGATTTTTAACATTATGAGTTGAAATTTGGACGAAGTCTCGAGCAAGAGTTAAATTATCTAGTGTTGAGTCTACGAGCCCCCAAATTTGTAGGATTTAATGAGGAGATGTTAAGTTTGTTGTGAATATAATTTAATTAATAACACTTTTATAACGCTTTAAATACAATAACACGAATACGATTTGACAACACGACAACTCAGAGTAACAACTCGGAATTAATAATTGATAACACACAACAAAAAGAATAACGAAAACTAATTTCGCGATTAATATACAATATACATACCGAGTGACACTATCTTTCATATCCCACATTAATTGTTTACGAGAAAAAAAGATACCTATTTTTTGGAGTCAGTTTTGGGTGATTTAATTTGAAAAATTCATTTCATCTGGAAGTCTACATGATAGTACAACTCTCAAACAGTGAAAAATATCCCCGCTGCTTGCTGTTCGACATGTCAAATATGAAGAAATTAACTTTTACGGACATGCTTTTGGGATAAATTAATGACTTTCTGTGACAACGAACAAATACTTTCATGTGAAATTTGCCATATTTTTGTACTGTAATGGGGGCCATGTTCTCTTAAAGGTTCAAAAAGCTCTTAGGTCAAATCTCTTCTAGTATTAAACAACTGAAAAAAAGCTTAATATGACAGTTTTAATTCTTTCGCAATTTAATGTATTGACCGATTTTAACGCACTATGTATAATTTTGTAATTATTTTTAATGCTTACATTTTTTATTTGAACGTTTTTCTTTAAAATCATTACGTTTTCTTCTACACGAGAAAAACGTGTTTTTTACATATTGTCGAATTTTTTTAAGAATGTTCGCCAACAATTCACGAATCTAAAACATATACATTTTATTTCAAATGACCTTCCCAACCATTTCACGTAAAACAAATAGCTAATTAAGAATTATGTGCCATTCAAAGCCTAATTTGATCGGAAATTTTGGCATAACACGAGCGATCCGACAAACTTCACAGCAATGCTGAAGTATCTCAAAGTGTTAACAATTAACCTGCAGAAGCGTCGCAGCCTGGCTCACGCAGAGAGAGCGGAAATTCTTCTCCTTTTGCTTCTGTGCTTTCTTCATTCTTTTAAAATTCCAGCTCTGCATAGTACAATGATGTCTCGATGAATGCTACATGCGCAACGGTGTTATCCCCATCATTGGGGAAGGGGCGGGGGGTCCCCTCGGGAATCAATCAACAGAGTAAACAGAAACTAAGGAGAGGCTTCGGGCAAAAAAAGAATATGAGGGGCTCAAAACATTTAATAGTGTTACTATCATTTGTCATTCTGCAAACTGTACAGGGTGTCAAGAATGTTACGAGTCAGGGTCGCGAGCAGCCGAGAGACCGGCGGAGTAGGTTTTCTAAGGAATATGGTTTATCAGTTTGTTAGTGTGGTGCGCGGACGAATCTGATGCGAAATCGGGGAGTCACTCTTATTTGCTATTATACGCCGTTTCCTGGGATGCATGCCGACTTGCTTGTTCGGAGCTTCATAGTACTGATTGGTCGGGGTTTTTCGTTAATATCTCGTTAACAAAGCCGCAGATAACATTTTCGCTAAAGAAAAAGTGGTTTTAAATCATCCCAGCCACCCCTCATTTCTCAGAAGAGAGACATTTTTGAGACACCCTGTAGTTCCATTAGCATTCCAAGTAACTTTATTTACAATTCGCTTACATTTTTCAGTCAGATGCAGGGTACGTAGTATCTGTTATGGCACGTAGGTACTTCAGGTACACCATGTACATCCATTGTATATCCCATACCTTCCTTTCTTGCTACGACACGTTTACAGTTCGGTGTCCCATATATCTATGGGTGAGCTACTTCCAACTCATACAGTAAAGTGGTCTTGACTGCGAAAGGCCACCAGGTAGATTGCCCGCCGGTAAAGGGGAAGCCGCTAGCCTGTGTGCGTTCACGCGCAGTTAAGGCGACTGTACTATATGGGACAGGTGCCGTGTGAGTCGGGAATACGCTGACCCATACATACATGGGACAATGAACTGTGAACAATAGCGAAAAAGGAAGGAAGGAAGGTATGGGATATACAGTGGTGTATCTGTGTGCAACAATAGATACTATTTACCCTGCATCTGATTAAAAACTGTAAGCACATTGTAACTAAAGTGAGTCCGGATATTAATGGAACTTGAACGTCATTTTTCAAGAGAATGGTTGAATTGCGACCCATAATTCCTTTGAGACTTTTTATTCCTACAATGCGTATAATGCAAAGGAAAGAAATTTGACCTTAAAATTTAAGATCAAGGGTTATGTTTGCGGCATCTTTCTTACTTCAATTTTCATCAAATCAAAGGTGTAGTAGTGTTCCCATATGTAGGAGCGTTGGAAAAATGAGAGGGCCCAAGCGGGATTCCAACTCACGACCCCCCGCGCCGAAAGCAGACTCTAAAACCACTGCTCCACGGAACCCTCCTATTTTCCAAAGATGTTATTTGCTCCTTTGTTGGGTATGGAGTTCCCGATCGCACACATATAACATTATGGTTTAATATAGTGTTAATAAAAATGTAAAAACATTTTCACAGGATGAATTCTATATGCTAAACTAAGACAAAAATCAAGAAATTACGAAATTGCGTTCGAACTTTCGATTCCGAATTATTAATTATTGAAAATACGAGAAAAATGCGCGTGAAATACGTTGACGCGATGGATTGTATTCTACTATTTACTATTTACTATCGCATCGGTATTTGTAGGCGTATATTCAAGAGTTTAATAATTCGAAAAACGATGCCTCGAACATAATACTTAATAATGTTTATTCAGGGTGTTAATAAAAATGTGAGACATTTTCACAGACATTTACATTATGTATTAGATTTTAAAAATGTTTATAAAAAGTAATATATGTTTTCATTCATATTTTAATTGAATACAAGTTAGATTCACTAAGCTAAATATGCTATTAATTTGCAAAATCATATTAAACTTATAGTGCATGTATGTTTATGTGTTATGAAAATATTTAAAATCTTAAGTTTCTTCGAAACCTTCGAAAAAAGAATAGAAACAACTTATTTAGTAATTTTAACAATTTTGTTTTAGTAACTTCAATAATTTTTCATGCTTTCTTAAATTTTGCTGTGAATGCAGATGATATGTAGACAGGACAACAGTTTTTAAATGAAAAGTTTTCACAATAAGGTTAGAATTTTTTTTAATTATTTTCGCACAAAATATAGTTTCTCATAAAAAACAATTGTTAATTTCATGAAATCATACCTTTCTTGCTCGTGTTATGAATATTCAGTCTTTAGATGTATGTGTAATGTATTTATTAATTTAAGCAAAATTAAGGATGTTCATCATTCAACGTTATTCATTGTTAAAGGAATATAGAGATATTGCGGATATGAATTTTAAATTCAAAGAAAAATCTTCAGCTTATCAATACGTCGTTGGCCTGATACATACAATACAAGAGTATCCAATGGAAGAAGTTTTAGTGGCAGGACATCTTTTCCCAACATGGCAACCTGACTTAATTAATTGGATCATGGAATATTTAGTACCAACAAAAGTCAGAATCCTCGTAATTGGAAAATTATTTGAAAGTATAACTGATGAAAGTGAAAAGTGGTATGGCACCAAATTTAAAAAAGAGAAAATATCGCAAGACATAATTGATATATGGCTTAATGCTGGTTACTGTTCAGATTTTAAGCTACCGCTAAAAAATGAGTTTATACCAAAAAAATTTGATATAAAACAGGCAGAAAATGTAAACAATATACATAAACAATCAGAAAATCATTAGTTATATCGTATTTGTAAAAGCTTTTAATTTTTTACATGTTTCTCAGATAACCAAATTTCCCACAATTATTGAAGACACTCCTCTCTTAAGATTATGGTTTAAACAAGATGATGAATTTCTTGTACCTAAAGCTACAATATCTCTACAATTTGTCAGGTAAAATGCAATGAAAAATACAACATAGAGTCTAACCAAATATGTAGTACAAAATTCAAAACAAATTATCTGTTATATTAAGGCAATACTTTTGTATTACTTACTTTACAGCCCACTAGCATATATCGATCCCCTTAGTTATAATTTAACTTACATGTATGTACAATTACTACACGATGCTCTAAACGAATATGCATACGCTGCTGATATAGCTGGGATCAAGTGGGAAGTTTCAAGTAGCAAATATGGAATAACAGTAAGTACAAATGCATTTATAGATAAGGGTGATCGTCTCACTGCACAACCAAAGACTGTCTCGTTCCAAAAAACCGCAGCTTTTGAATTTGCGTAGGGAGAGGATCACCCTGTATAAAAAAGTGAACAATACACAATACACAAGGTGTAACAAAAATGTTGGGGGACCCGGAAACGGGAGACTCGTGAGGTGATTTGAAACAACTTTTTCCTTAGCGAAAAAGTTTTCCAAGGCTTTGTTAACGAGATATTAACGAAAAACTTCGACCAATCAGAACTCGGCCGTCAGAGTCGCATTAGGATTGGTCGGGGTTTTTCGTAATATCTCATTAGCAAAGCTTCGGAGAACTTTTTTGCTGAGGAAAAAGATGTTTCAAATCACCTCTATCAAGGCCTTACCTTTTTTGGGACACCCTCTATATTTTTAATTCATAATCCCTTGTACAATATACGCATTTCTCAGGTAGGCATCAGTGGTTATGATGATAAGCAGCAGATACTGCTAGAAAGAATTCTAGACAAAATGCTTAATTTTGAAGTTGATCCAAAAAGATTTGATATTTTGAAAGAAAATGTATGTATTATTTTATGTTTGTATATATTGTATCGCAGATTGCAATCATCATTATTTGTAAGTTTACAATTTTCAGTGTATTAGAGACTTAAAAAACTTTGAGACAGAGCAACCATATCAGCATGCTGTTCATTACCTTGCAGTTCTATTGTCGGAACAAGTTTGGATGAAGGATGAACTGTTAAGAGCAACTTCTCGTAAGTGTGTACAAAACAATTCCTATCACTTTAGAAAATGATGAAAACACTACAAGTCTGTTTAGAAGAAGAACGTCCATTATATCTTCATTTATATTAATGTTTATTTAGAATTAACCGTCGAGAGGACCCAACAGTTTATTCCACAATTCTTAAGCAAAGTGCATATGGAGTGTTTAATACATGGCAACATCACTTTGTCAGAAGCTATTGAAACAGCTAATTTCATAGAATCAAAATTAAAAAACGCAATTCCTCAGATAATACCACTTTTGCCGCGGCAGCTGATACTATATCGTGAAATTAGATTAGAAGATGGTAAGTAAAAAGATGTTAATACTTATACTTAAGAATGGTTACAAATCTATGTTGAAGGACCCGGAAATGCGACACTCGTGAGGTGATTTGAAACAAGTTATTGCTTAGAAAAAATGTTATCCGAGGCTTTGTTAAGGAGATATTAACGAAAAACCCTGACCAATCAGAGCGCGAGTCTGCTAGCCGAGTTCCCGCAGTAACGTTGGCTACCAATCGCAGCGCGTATACTGTGTTACCTAGCACTACATACTAATCATGTACATTGTCATATTATTATATTATAAGAATGAGTAAGTCATGTTTGTGCAGTGTAACGCGAGTGTTAAGTAGCACAGTATGCCTATGCGGCTACGATCGACTTCTGAATCGAAATTCTCGACTGTATCATATATCACAAGTGCCACTCCCCCCCTTGGATGGAAAAAAGTGGCTTTTGCCTCTCCCTACAAGAAAAAACTTGGATTTTGCACCCCCTCCCCCACTTCCTTCCCAGAGTTACAAAATTTTTGCGTAATATTTACTATTCCAGTATAATTTGAAACACGACCAACAGTCTCTATTAACAAAACATACATATTTTCAACGATTTATGACTTTAGCCATAATTGCTTTCTTCATATCTTCAACAGAATTAAAATTTCGTCTTATGGCAAGTCCATAATATTTCGTTAATTTTTTTATGAGTGCGTCGGTGAGCTTCCCCTTGCCTCCGAGCTTAGCAGTTTTTTTTATGTTTCGGAGCCGACTGCCCATTCTCTTCTCGACGTGGATGACACATTCACTCTTTATTATCTTAAAATCTTCACCATAAGGTTGCTTATCCAAAATAGCCTTGAATGTTTTCGTATCACCGTCGCCGACGTAATTACAATATTTAACTCCGAAAAGTTTCTCGGATCTCTGGAACATTTCAATTATAGCGTCCACTTCCATCTTGCCAGTGGATCCATCATGATTTAGTGGACAATTTACCTTATGTTCTAAGTATTATGGGTCATTTTTGTCCGTATTTTTATAATATATACATGCTTGGCAGTAACTACTTTTTACCACAAGATCAATCACTTTGCCCGTATGATAACCAATAAGCATAGTTACGCCATATAAAGACGAGAACCCACGTTTTTTCCACGACCCGTCGCCTGAAACTGTTATATTCAAAAGCAGGCTTTCATTTTCTTCGTTTAATTTTATTTCTTCCTCAATCTCCTTTTTACAAGTAACATCAACAATTTTTTTTGATGACCCACTTATATGCTGCACGATTCCTTCGTAGGATTTCTTACTTAGTCCTTTTTCCAAATCCATAATGCCACAAAAATATTGATGCCTTCTCTTGCAATACCTAATCATCTCATCACAAATACCATTCTTCGATTTATTTCGTAACTATTACGGATAAATGGTCCCGAATTTATAAGCGTGATGCCACACCGATATTTTACCACTATTTTTAAACCAAGCTCTCTCTCATCTGTCTGGTCAAATGATAATTTCTGTTTGCACGTTTTACAAATAGCAATATCAGAAATAGCGGAAAAAACACTCACAAATTCAATAATTTTGTAGCAGAAACTTATTATAGGCGTACACATACATTTCGTAAAAAGGACGCAAAAAGAACATTGAATGGACAACTTCATTCGATGAGAATTTATGCAAGGAATAAAGATACTTTTTTTATTTCTGAAGCAAATATTTTCTCGTTTTTACAAAAAGCCATTAATTTATCCCAAATGCGTCTCCAGAAAAGTTAAATTGTCCATCTCGGACAAGTCGGACAGCAAGCAGCGCGGGTATTTTTTACTCTTTGAGAGTTGTACTATTACATAGACTTCAAATGAAATGAATTTTTAAAATTAAATCACCGAACAATAGCTCGAAAGAATAGGTACCTTTTTTCTGGTAAACAATTTGAATAACATCGTCATTTTTGATTCTGTTGCATTGCCGTATAGACCATTCGATAACTGCAACTTGGCTATAAATTTTAAAACAATATATTTTACCCTAAGTTAATTAGGAGTCGTGATAATTTGTTTTTCTTTGCAAAATCACTGTAACGTCAATTGTTAACATTAAGAGTTGAAATTTAGACGAACTCTGGGTAAAGAATTACATTATCTGTTCCCTAATTTTTGGAATAATCCATTCAGTGGCTTCTCTTATAAAGATCACAAAGATCCAGTATGCAAACGGCGGGCACACGGCGGCAGCGGATTGGGGAGAGACCGCCACGCGACAAGCTCGTGATGCCTGAAATTGATCTCGCCCGTTTTATCTAGCGGACCCGGAAAAATTCAGATTTTCTGTGTAACAAATTAACGTAGAGCGATGATTTTTTTTTATTTGGGGTAAATCGATGAGATATTAAGAAAAGCGTGACCAATTCTATAAACAATTAGTTAAACTCCAAAATTTTTACTTTGATTTTTTGTTTTAAATTGATCCATTTTGTTTCTAAGCATAAGTTATAAAAAAGAACAAAACTTGTGTTATACGACTCACATAGTCGATGATGTAAATAAATGTTACTTATTGATAGAACGGTTTTATGCGATTCGTGTGTTATATATCACTTATTATTTATTAGGATTTCTATGTTAATTTCATTAAGAATATTCGTTACTACAAATGGTCCGGTATATTGTGATTCTAAACACCTTGCTCTTTCAGTATGTAACAAAACTACATCACCTATTTCATAAACTGGTTGTTTCTTTATAATCTTTGAATCCTGTTTTTGTTTGTGTAATTCTTTAAGTCGAAGTAAACTTTGTACGGAATCGTAATCGCATATTTTGTCCGTGATTCAGTATTCAAGTTATCATCAGTGTTGATCAGTCTTAAGAATCATTTGTCATCAATTAATTTGATATTACGCACAGACCACAAAAAAAAAATATATGCATTACATAACGTATTCCTCCAAACCATACAACTATTCTAACTTTTAATACACGTTCAGAATCAGGATCTCTAGTGCAGTTCTGACAACCGACATATGAAAGTTTGTCCTTGCTCACGACAACTTTTACTTCTTCATCTGGTCCTACTGACTCTTTCTTCAACCATCAACTCCGCTCGAACAGACTATACCTCAGGAATCATTAAACTAATTTTTGCTTTCAAAATATATTTGTTCCCATAATTCAATTATATCAGTGAATGTTTAATTGAAAGGTCACTTTTGCAAGCCCCCTTCAATTCTGTAAAATTTAAAAAAACCATTTACTAGGCAAAAAAAATAAGTTCAGTGATATCTGCTTAAAAATATTTATTGCTAGAATAATTACAGTGGGTAAAATACCTAATATTCTTTTTGACTGCGTAAGATTAATAATACAAGAATATATTTATTGAAGAGTTTCATTGTAAGTATTTGATTTTTTCATTTTAAAACAAGTAACATTTTTGTTTTGTTTAATTCTTAGGTTGTCACTTTTTGTTTGAAGTACAAAATAAATTACATAGCAGTTCATGCACACAAGTCTATTACCAAATTGGCTTACAGTCAACAGAATCAAATATGTTACTAGAGCTCTTGGTTCAGCTTATTTCAGAACCATGTTTTTCTACCTTAAGAACTAAAGAACAGTTAGGATATATTGTATTTAGTGGAGTTCGAAGGGGAAATGGCGCACAAGGTTTCAGAATAATAGTTCAAAGTGACAGACATCCAAAATATGTTGAACAAAGAATTGATACATTTTTAAAATCTATGTTGGTTAGTAGTACAATTTTAAATATGTTTAAAAACGTTGGTGCTCATAATTCTCATAGAACGCTCTTTAAATTTATTTTAGGAATACATATCGGAAATGTCAGATGAAGAATTTAAGAGGCACAAAGAAGCATTGTCAGTTCTCCGCCTGGAGAAGCCAAAAATGTTGACTACCTTATCTGCTGTGTTTTGGCATGAAATTTTGAATCAGCAATATAATTTTGACCGAACGAATATCGAGGTTGCACATCTAAAAACTATAAAACAAGAAGAAATAGTACAGTTTTATAAAGTACGTATGTCGATATCATAGAACATAATATAAATAAGAATACAAAAATAATATTAAATTTAAATTTAAATTATTTATAGAATGTGCTACAGCGTAATATTCAGCACAAATTATCAGTACATGTAATTCCAATGGTAACAAACGAAGAATCAATGAAAAAAGATGCAGATGAAAACATAGAATTTTCTGATGCTACAGATACCACTGAATACAGGAAAATTGATGACATTACAGCGTTTAAAATTAATCAGCCTTTACATCAATTACTAAAGCCGTTTACCAATGTACCAAGAAAAGGAGGACATGCATCCAAATTATAAAGTGTTCAAAATATTATAATTATACATTTTTTTAACTGTACATCTATAAATCGTAGCATGTATCAACGGAATAAACAGTTGAAGAAGTAATATCTTATAAAATAATATATTATACGAGATCTATTCTAAATGAATCGAACCTACCCTTCCCGCCAAGATATATGAGGCACTGGAGTTGTCCTCCGGTGAGGTAGGAAGGGGAGGGACCTTCATGCGCATGCGTGAATTTTTTGTCGCCCCACTGGAAGGCTCGATGTCGTGGCCAAAAGTCAACTTTTGAATTGGAAAAAGAGAAATAGGTTACTGTAATGAAGGAAAGTTAGAGCACTCCAGATCAAAATAATTCATCGATTACATCAATTTTAATTACATCGACAGTAGTGTAAAGTTGAAAAATCCCCTATGAATTATAAAAAATGATATTTTTATTAATCTATACTTGAAGATGTACAAATAAAGAAAATACTAATCAAATATGGAATTTTAACTTTGAATAATGTACGACATATCTGGTAACTGATACGTAGACTTTTTCAGCGAACCACCGGATTTCGATCGTTACTGCCCTTTTTTTTTTTTTTTA